GTGTGTGTGTGTGTGTGTGTGTGAGAGAGAGAGAGAGAGAGAGAGAGAGAGAGAGAGAGAGAGAGAGAGAAATCCTCTTCTTGTTGCAATTTTCGCAGGCTGGCTGCCCTGCCCTCCGAGACAGACAAGAGTCCTTCTCTTCCCCACCCCACCCCTGCCACTGCCAGGATTTTGAACTCTTTTGATTTTCTCCACCCAGTCCTTATCTGATCAGGTTGGATTTTTTTCCCTAGCACTCTCTGCCACCACACACACACACCGCAACACACTCACTGACACACACACACACACACACACACACACACACACACACACACAGATACTCACACACAAACTCCCAAGAACCCACTGCCTGTCCATACTTTCCAGAGGAAACATCTAACTCCGAGTACCTGTGGGGGGCACAGAGGGGTCCTTGCAGGGGGGGGTCAGCAGGTCAGAGACACAGCAGAAGGGCGGAGGGGGGAAGAGAAACCTGGAAACACAACATTTACATGACCCCGAGGGAGGGGTGGTTTTAAAGCAGCTAGCTCAAAGGATGGGGGTGATCGTTACTACTATTATTATTAGTTAGTGCTAATGATGCTTTCTTCATCTGTTTACTAGACCTTTCTAGCAAACTCTCGGGGGGGGGCTTCCCACCCACCTCCTGCAAGGAAGAAAGGAAGGAAAAGAGAGGAGGAAATAAGAAAGACAAGAAATAAGAGGAGGGAGGGCTGGATTTTTCTATTACTCGAGAGTAAAGCCCCCCCCCGCTCGGTAGGGAAGGGGACTTGTGCGACTCTTGCCATCCAGCAGAACTACAAGGGACGCAGGAGAATTCAGCCTGAGCCAACCCGCACGCACCTCCACGCACCCGCGCGTCTACACGTACACCCAGACCCACAATTTCCACGGAAAGTTCCTTGAGCTTTTGCAAGCGCTGAGAAAGGGGGGGGGCGGTTGGGAGATAGAGAGAGGAGCAAACGCCATTTAGCTTCTCCCCCCCCCCCAGCACGCCGGGCCCTGTCCCGAAAGCAATGAAGGCGAGAGAGCGAAGCCGGCCACCGACGAAGCGTCTGGTGACACCTGGAAAGACGCCCGAGTGGAAGCCTTCCGGGATTACGGCCCGCTTTGGCGGCGGCAGGGGCTACTCCGAGCGGGCGCCCTGGGGCACCAGGCGTCTCCACCTCTTCCCGTCCCCCCCCAAGCCCCACACTTTCCTCTGCTCCCCGGACCCCCCCCACGGGGGGGGCTCTGCTTACCGCACTTGCTCCGCCCGATCTGGCCCAGCTTGGGGGGCCGCTTGGTCTGGCCCCCGGCGTAGAAGTTGTTGGTGTCCTGGAGGCGGCAGGTGAAGGAGATCTGCCCCACCTCGCCGCCGTCGCCATAGGGCCCCAGCTTCTCCTCGCTGTAGGGCAGCACCTGAGACATCGCCTGGCCGTGGGGAAAGGGGGTCCCGCGGAGGGGAAGGCGGAAAGCAAAGGAAGGGAGGAAGGAGAGCGCAGGCTGGAGCGCCGCAGCCTTCGCAGCGCCTGGGGGTCCCCCGGGACGGAGCCGGCGGGTGTCAGCGGCGCGGTGACCCAGCGGGCCCAAGGGTGCTCCAGGCTCGGAGGGGGTCGTGGGGGGGGGTCTCGTCTGATCTCGCTCGCCGCGTCCGGCGCTCCGGTCCTCGGCGCTGCCTCCTTGGGATGCTTCTGGGCTGCGGAAGGTGCGCAAGGCTGGCTAGCTGGCTGGCTCCGTCGCCTGGCAGGGAAGAACAGAGACAGCGCGAAGGGAGAGGGGGGCGGGGGGACCGAGGAGGAGGAGGAGGAGGAAGAGCCTGAGATCCCTGGAAGAGCCACCGCGTCAGAGAGAGAGAGAGAGAGAGAGAGAGAGAGGAGGAGAGGGGAGGGAGCGCGAAAGAAAAGGAGGGGGGAAAAGGAAGGAGCGAACGAGAGCTGCAGCTGAAGGCGCTGCGCTTCTTTCTCCTCTCCGCTCGTCTTTTGCTCTTTTGCGCAGGCATTTTTTGCCAGGGAGGAAAAGAGAGAGAAAAGAGAAAAGGAGAAAAAGAAAAGAAAAGGAAAGAGAAAAGGAAAAGAAAGAGGAAAGGAAAAGAGGAAAGGAAAAGAAAAGAAAAAAAAAAAAGAAAGGAAGACGGAGAGCTAGTGTCAAATCTCTCCCTGCACTGTATGAACTCTGGGGTGCGTCCTATGCTGTTTATTTGTTTTCCACACCTGCTACTTTTTTTTCCCAAGAAAGTAAAGGTCTAAGGTGAGGAACAGTTCTTAGAAGAGGAAGCCAGGCACCTCCCTACCCAACCGCTTGGGTCTGAAGGCCTCCTCCTTTGGCCCCATGTGTGTATGCCAGCCGGAGACTGGTGAAATGCCAGGATAACAGTCTGGCCTATTCAGCTTTTGACCCTTGACCCTTCACCACTTCCAGCGTGATAACCCAGTTTTTAAACATGCAAACTGAGGCTGACATGAAACTGCTGTCATCAAATTCCTCAACACTTTACCATACGGGTACTTGCCACAGCTTTGCTTCAAGGAACTAACAGGCAAAATGACATTAAGCAAAAAATCATGTGCAGGTTCATCAGTATGCATGGCTGGCATTTATTTGTTGATTGCTTTCTTTTTCATTTACTGCTTTTTTTTCCCCCTCAAGGAAGTAACATGTAAAACTAACATTCGACTGATTTTTTAAATGCAAATTCAGTACGCTGGCCGTTGAGATGCAATTAAGCAGTGTAGAAGGTGGAGACAGAAGGACAGATTAAAAAACCCAGCTCGCCTAAGGCCAGCCACGCTACCTTGCAGGACCATTGTGAGGATAAAGGGTGTGTGAAAAGATCCTTGGGAGGAAAATGGGAGATTAAGACAGTGCCTTAAGTTGCATCTTTCTAATGTTCTGAGTTGACCACCCTGACTGCCCACCTTCAGCCCCAAACTGCATTTCATCTGGAGGTTTCACAGCCTGGCCATTTCCTGGGAAGGGCTTCATAGAATCATGGAGTTGGAAGGGGTCTCGAAGGCCATCCAGTCCAACCCCCCTGCTGAAGGCAGGAATCCCAATCAAAGCAGATCAGACGGACAGTAGTCCAATTTTCCGTCGAAGGCCTCCAGCACTGGAACGCCCACCACCTTGTGAGGTCATTGGTTCCATTGTCGTACTGCTCTAACAGTTAGGAAGTTTTTTCTGATACTCAGCCCAAATTTGGCTCCCTGTCACTTGAGGATGTGTCCTGCACCCTGGGGTGATCCAGAGGGCAGAACCTGGCTCCAGGGCATATGCAAAGTTCAGAGTTCACTTCTTCACAAGGTATGGCAGGCTAGACTCTCGCTGTCTTCCTCACCTGGGAAAGATGTAATTCTCTTTACATTTTATTCATTCATTCATTTATCCAATTTATATATTTCCCCATTAGTGCAAGCACGACCCTGAGTGGTATCCAAGATTTTTAAAACTCTCAAAAACACCACGATAACATAAAAAAAATACATTCAAAAACAATATGACCATACATGGATAGAATTGAAATCATAAATATAAATAATCCCATAGAATTCATTTTTGTAAATATGACAGCATCCCAAGGATTCTGTTATTAAAGGCAACTTTAAATCATTCTGTCTTTCTGAAGATAAGGAGAGAAAGAGCTGTTTCAGAGTTTTGAATTTTTGGTTAAATTCCTCTAGCTGCACAGCAGAAGGGCAGGGTTTCAGAGAGCAGAATTAGCTTCAAGTTCCTCAGAGTGGTCCACCCCTTTTTCTCAGTAACTGGCACTTACAGTCGCCATCACTCAGAGACATAAGTAGCAGAAAGAATAAAAAGGTTTCATCTACTTACGGTTGAACACAACAAACCGAACAAACGTGGCTGACTTTCAGCAACGGGCCTCAACAAACTAACTGAATGCTCCCAACAGATGACTAGGGAGGTTGAACCAGGGGGGAGAGAAGCGGGCCTCTCTTTGAATCAGAGGCAGGGAAGGAACCCTTGATTTGGGCTTGATAGATAGACAGTCACCCGAGCCCAGAAAGGACCCTCCCAGCCATACCTACTAAAGTCAGCCGGATTCTGTCTGCGCTTCGAGCAGCATGGATTCAGAGCGAGCGAACTGGCGGGTAGACGATTTCGGGGAGAGACGTTCTGACAAGTATTGGGAGTCCTAACTGGTTAAGAGCTTTAGAGATCCTAACCAGAACCTTGAATTGGGCACACAAACCAACAGGAAGCCAACGAAGGTGGGCCAAGACTGGGGCCTATGTACTAGTCCCACTAACCGTAATCTGCCCGTGTGCTGCATTTTGGACCTCCTGAGGTTTCCGTACTGTTTTCAAGGGCAGCCCTACAACAAGAGCATTACGGTAGTCTATTTTTTGAGATCACCAATGTGTGAACCACTGTGGCTAGGCATTTCTTACCCAGGTTGGGATGCAACCAGGCAATCAACCAAACACCATTTCCAACTTGGCCCCGATTTTACACATGCCGATGCCCCTTTGGGGGTGAGGGGGAAGCGGGAAGCGATGGCGGATTTGCCCCCATTGTGATGTGGACACCTGGTTCCACGGCTCCCCATTCAAGTCATTCTTTCCACGTAATGTTGCATCTGGACACATCACGTGCACGTGCCGCTCGATGCCCGTCGGAGAAATTTTGGGTCTCTTGTCCCAAAGATGCGTGTCCTCTTTTCAAGTGATGACCACCCTATGACTCTCTTGAGCTATGTTTGGGAGGCTCCTATCATGCAGAAGATACACACACTGCCTTTTCCCTCTCGTGAACTAACAGTACCATCAAAAACAGTCTTGGCCCCCCGAAAGGGTGAAAGGTCAATCAGAACTTCAGGTTCCAGCATCCCCCAGCCAGACACGACCCACGGCTTCCCGCCAGCCCTGAGACCAACTCAGAAACCGCTTGATCGCACAGTCACATGCCAGCAAGCGGGCAAAGAGCTGTTTTCAGTGGCTCGTTTCCAAAGACAGAAGGTGTTCCCCATGTCAGGCACTGGGCAAGGTCCAAACGTCGACACCTCTGAGAACCCACGGTAAGCAAATAAACCAGTTCAAGCCTTCCTGGTTCAGATTCACGAGAAGAGAAGGATTGGAAGTCAGAGAGAGAAAAGAGGCTCCCAGTGGGTTCAATCGCCAACATCTCCAGAAACGGCTAGTAATGAATCCTGCCTGAATCCTTGAAAAATCATGCCAGCTCCTCGGGGCTGGGAAATCATATAGCCCCTGCACCATGTGCGCTCCTTAAAAAAGAGCTGAAAAGGTTTTTATAAAACCCAGAGTAGATTTCCAGCCACTCCTACCCTGTTTTCCCTGAAAATAAGACCTAACCAGAAAATAAGTCCTAGTATGATTTTTCAGAATGCTTGTAATATAAACCCTTCCCCCCAAAATAAGCCCCAGTTCAGTGAAACCCCGCCCTCCACCCTTGTGCAGCAACCAGAAGTAGATGACATGACTGTATTTGAAAAAATGTAGACGGCTGTACATGAAAAAAATAAAACATCCACTAAAAATAAGCCGTAATGCGTTTTTTGGAGCAAAAATTAATATAAGACCCTGTCTTATTTTCGGGGAAACACGGTAGTCAGAACTTGGAAGTAACTACTTTAATATAATTTGGTTACATGTAACTTGTTCCTTTGTTGTGATGTAACTAGTGATCTCAAAGTTACTTTTTAAGTATAATGAGTAATGCCTTGTTGTTTTCAAAAGTTACTCTTAAAGGGCATTTTCAGGTATTTTAAATGAATTTGAACAGATTTTTTCCAGTTTTATGCTGTTCTTTAATCTAAGCAACAAGGGGAAATGTTCTTGAGTTTACATTTTTTGTATTTTTATTTATTTATTTTCAAAGTGAAATCAGACTTGGACACTAGGGGGAACCTGGATTTTCCTGGCCTCCTGTTCAAAACGAAGCTTATGTGTTAAAAATGCCTGACGTAATGAATTTCTTGCAAAATTAGAGGAATGGTAACAGTAACAGCAAGCTAATTAGGCAGAAGTTTTGAGTTCCTTTAAAAATGCAACTTCTCATTGTACTTCAAGTTTTGTTTTTCAGGGCCAGTGAATATAAATGTGGGCCCTGAGGGCAGGAAAATGATCCACACTTACTCAGACATGAAGTGCAAGGAAAATCTGTCCACGCGGCTTGTAAGCACTCCACATTCTTTGCATAGATGGATTTCATTGTTCCTTGCGTCTCTTTTAGCCAGGGATTAGAAAAGTTACTTTTCAGAACGACTGGACTTTCCAGTGTCCCACAGCCAGTATGGTCAATGGGAGGCTGGGAACTACAACCCAGAAAAGAACTTTTTCCACCTGTTTCGTTCACGACATGTTCCTCTTGTTACGGCCAAGTCAACAGCGAAGGCCCACGTTGAGGCTGTCCAGGTCAAGAGCCTCAGCCAGCTGCCTTCTGATGGAGAAAGTGAGGAGAAACAGGAGCAGCTGGGCAGGAATCTGGAGACTCCGTGGCTTTCGCTGCCTGAGGGAAAAGTTGAGAGGATCCCTCACTTCTCACGGACAGAATCAAACAGGACGGGCGGCTTGCCTTCTTCCAGGGCACCTCAGAGGTGGCCTTCTCCTGATCCGACTCTTGGCCACCCAGCAATCTTTCCAGGTTACATGGGGCTGGCTTAGCCTTTGAGACCC